CAGTCGTCAAATCCGACTTCTGGTCGATCCTGAGGTCTTCCGACAATTTTGATAAAAGCGGATCGATCGATCCAGTCGTCAAATCCGACTTCTGGTCGATCCTGAGGTCTTCCGACAATTTTGATAAAAGCGGATCGATCGATCCAGTCGTCAAATTCAGCATGTGTGTTAACAAGCAAAACAAGTATGATACATGTGATTTCTTTTTTAATATTAGATAGGATTTCGAAAATATTTTGATTTCAATGAATCTTTCCTTATTTTTTTATTGTTAAGATCTTCTCTAAATATTTTTTTTACAAAATAAAATATTTTTATCATCTATATAAGAACCCACGCGATTTACTTCTTCATCACAAACTAAAATTAGACAATAAACCTTTTCTCCACCAAAAAACATATAGTACTGACATCATGCAAATCAAGTTTTTATATTTTTCAAGCTTCCATATTTTCTAGAAGAAGCATATTTTCTATAACTTAGTCGGCTAAATGATGTATAGGATTAGTGAACTTCACCATTACAATACTTGCAATATTCCATTGTAACACCAACMTTAGAACTCTTTCACACAAATTTCGGATTTGTGAAAWGAATTTTTATTTGGAATTTTGATCTCCTAATTYATTTTGATCTCCTAAGATATTTTTAGGTAGCAAGTTGGTATATACCGTGTTTRTAMAAACTTTTTAGAATACTAATTGTAATTAAGAGATTATGTAACTACCTTATCTACCTTTTAGTATGTAAGTATTCTCTTCCCAAATCTAACGAAATTTGTTTTATGGTGCAAATAACAAAATTTTCTACACCGAAATTTGGGAAGAGAATATCTAACAAAATATTATTGTTTTGCATATGGAAAATTTCCTAATTGTAAATGGTATCCGTGATTTTCTAATCTATGTCCTCTGGTTATCTCGATTCTATTAAGATTTCATATAGATGTACGTAATTTCCTAATCTTTAAAGTAAGATACAGATTTGTGTAATCTGGTTATCTCGATTCTGTAAATATCAATATTTTCTTAATCAATGTTGAACAATCTAATATTTAGTTAGGAGTATCATATTCCGTACGAGTTTAATGTTTTATAATTGACATTAAGAAAATATTAACTACCTTATTTAGCTGTTGGTAACTAAATAT